AGCTGTTCACTTGAAAAAAAACGAATCGAACGGTAAAGCAACAACTTTATACATGCTTATTTGTGCCTGTACGACATGCTTCATACGAGCGACTCACGATGTTGTTTGTCGTTCAGATACGTACTGATAAGCATGCAAGAGTGCATTCTCAACCAGAGGCGATCCACCAAAGTATGGCATAAAGGCTTTCATTGCTTGTCGATATTGAGACCTGAACAGCAACTCAGAAATCAGCCCCAAAAAATTCTTGGAGCCAACCTGCTGATGAGAGCCTTGTTTTGCGGGTCTTCAGCTGAGATCGTATGATTGAACCAAAAACCATGCTGGCTCATATAGTAAGGTAGCCAGTATGTTCCTTCGTCCTTCACTGTCCCAAAAATAGCGGAAACGTCTTTTTTGAAATTCCGACTCCTAAGTCTTTCGAAGACGTCGCCCTGCAAAGAAAGCAAGACTGATCAAAGTCTTTAGCGCGTTAAGATTTCAACAAATCAAAGCTTTTACCTTGAAGAAGTTCCTATCAGCGCTAACGGGTACAAAAGCAAAGGTCATCGGCAGACCAATGTCGCTGGATACTGTGTCTGCCTCTATCTGTAAAGAGAGTAGAACTAAAAAAGCTACGATGAGCTTGTCTATACTCTTGTTTAGGCCATATCATGTCTTATAATAAAGCGCTACGCGTCTCTCTGTTTGTCTGTGTGTTTATGTCGTTTAACATGAAATCATAGACAAAAGTTTGAATTGATCCGATAACGGAACCTTTGAAAATTGCGCGTCAAACGGGTCCACTTGACTTTTGTCCCACTACATGGGTCGGTGATTTCTTGCGAAGTTGTGAACTAAATGCGAGAGCAGAGGTAAGTAAATGCGCAGACCATGGACTTAGGCCTAAAAAGTGAGCAGAGTATCTACTTTGACGCAGATACAGCGCCAGAAAGGAATTTTTGCGCAGGTCGTCAATTTGTCAAGGTTTCACCTAATTATTTGTAAAGCTTTTTGCTCAGAAATTTAGGTGAAAAAAGTGGCTGCCCTTTACGGAAACCACTTCACCATAATAACTTCAGTAACTGACCGAAATTCTCTTCAATCTTCTACACAGAAATTTTTTCTTTCCGAGGTTACCGCTCCTGCAAGAAAAAGCTTATGAAATGAGTAGTTGTTCAATTCGTTCATGATGGTCGGCATCGCGCGGTGATTCAGAAAACATTATAGCAAGTTTAAGGCATTTAGATAGACAAGCCAGTGCCAACCCCTGCGGAGCAGAGGTGAAACACTAGTATTTAGTTATCCGAGACATTTCAGAATATGATCGACGTTTAATTTTCAATAACTCTCTTGTATGGAAAGTCCTGTAAAGCGATTTCACGAGGTTGTCAAAGGTAGGACAGTTTGGATAATGAGGTTTGAGTCTACCAAGGGACCTGTCGCGAAGGTCAGCTTACCTACCTCTTACTGTCTAGACAGGGTTCAATTGTCGATCTGGCAGGTTTTCTTTACTATATTGGCATTTAGTGGACAAATGAGCCTTACCATACTAAGTTCCATC